TTATTTTGTATCTCCTGAGTGCCTCAGATCTCCTGTTGCCAACATAAATAAAATACTATTTATGGCTAGCTATAATAATAACCTTGCACACATGTGTGTGTGTGGAGGAGCTGGACCACCTGCATCACATGACCAAAGTAGTAGGTATTGATTGGCTGCTGTTTGAACTAACTTAAAAGTGATTGCTCGACCCTGTGTGAAAGCAATTAAACCAATTTTAGTCAAAATTATAAAACGTGAGATTTGGATTAAGTTGTTACACATTAAAAAAACAACACAGAAGAAGGTTCATTGAACATCAGAGCAGTTATCATTCCACACTGTTAAAGATCCAGTGAGACAATTGTTTTGCATATTTGCTCAATTTTGCCCTGGAACAGTCAAGATGATGTGCTCTTCTCTGGGCTTTAGCAGTTTATCAACACTTTCTTATTTTCCTCTAATCACCCAGTCCTCCTAAGGACCTGTCCTCTGTTAAAAGAACAGAAGCAAAGAGCTCCAAGAAATGCATTTTAATTCACTTCTTAATCTATGTTTTTAAATAAAATTTTAGATCATGAAAATAAAGAAAAAGTAAAACGTTTTAAGTTGGTGTCCTAAATAGCGTTTCAATTATGTGTTTAGGGCCTTCTCGTTGCTGCAGAAAAATGCAAAAGACAGACTAATACAATTTAAAAATTCAGAAGAAAAATGTCATAATTATGTGTTGAATATTTAACTTAAATGCAACATAAATAAAAAAAATTTGAAATATTTAACATAAATGAAACATAAACGCTGTTCTATAGTGTTTTAAAAGTGGACCTGCCTGGATTTATTATAAAAGTCACCAGTTGTTATATTACCTGTGATTATAGCGCCCTCTGCTGTTAGGATAGCGGCACCGACAGCAAAGCGGCTGTAGGGACAGTATGCCAGGTCCCGAGCCTGCAGGCACCTTGAGACCAGCTCTGTCACTTTATCTGCTCGTTACACATGAAGGCAAGTTAACAAAACTCAAATTTTATTATCAACCACATGCAGACAGGAAATGTAAGAAGCACGTGTTAGGAGTGTGTTAGAGAAGAACATACCTGTCATTATAGGGGAAAGGTGCTCTGAAGTTCTTCTGAAGCAGTCAGTCACGTGATGAACAAATGATTTACAGCTCTGTTAATGGTTTAAAATGGATTTTGTCTTTGGCTCAGTTTGGAGGTCTCGAGGCTGAACCCACAAGAATGAGCTGAGCTGGTGTGCATGGTGACAGCTGCACGGCCTCATTTACCGTCACGTGACTGAGCATGCGTTTGTCAAGATGGCAGCAGGCTGAGATTTATTCCCTTAAATGACAAATTATTCAAGCAAAAGTATCCCAGATGATGTTATTTGTTGAGATAGCAGTCAGAAAAAGACAAAAGCATGGATCACTGGATGGTTTTATTGGATTCTCAGGAAAACTTCAATGGATGTAAATCAGAAAACAATTGATATCACCATAAAGTTTACATTTTATTTGATTTCTTGTCACAAAAATCACATACAAATTAGTAAACTGTCCATCAATATTTAAAAAAACTTCAAATTACACAATCAAACATAATCTATGCACAATTAAAATATGTATCTTTGACTTTTTTTTGCTGCAGAATTTTTTTTTATAAGATTTTCTAAAAATTACTAGACATGTTCCCCCAAGACCTTCATTTACAACTGTCAGCCATGGCACTGGTCTCTTACTGGTCCCATGAATGAAGCAGACAGAGATGTTGTGAAGATAAAGCGTGTAAATGAAAGTCATCCTTTGGGTACTATACGTGGTTAAATTAAACCTCAGACACTCGATTTACACCATATCTCCCGGAGCAGGACTGATGCTCACAAAAAAAAAAACATCAGGCCTTTGCAGAATCCAGCCAAAGGTATCACCATCCCAGCTGTCTCAAGTATGGCGTTCCAGAAAGCAAATGTGTACAGAGTATTGTTACAGTAGAGGCCGTCATCGGCGGAGGGGTCGTAGTTGGGCCGGTAGATGGAGAAAACCCACACGTCACCTATTGACCTTTTGCACCGACATCACCTAATCACGTGGGTCCACCATGCTAGACTGCAAAAGCATGTAAACAGTGAGCGACACGATTACTAAACAAAGGGAAAAGTAGAGCCTGAAATTGTTTTTGCGATCAAAACAAAAACAAAACTCCTCCAGCATTCCTTCCACGAGCTCATGCCCAGTTCAGTTATCAGAAGAAGTAGCACATCTAGCGGGGCTCATAGAGAGCGGTATGCTAACTAGCTTACCAACGTTAGCTTACGTTCTCTCTGCAGCTGTTTACCAATGTAAACATGTTGCTGACTTTGCCTAAATTCACCCCTCTAGATTTATAACTTTATGTTATAAACAGTTTCGTTGTCTGGGGATCGGACCGCCAAGGCTCCCGCCTCGGTCTGCCACCCGATCCACACTGCACCGGACCCTTCATGTTCCTCCTGCGGGTGGTGGGTCCACAGTTAGATGAGCCCATGTATCCAGTTCGGGCTGGGCCCGGCCGGGCCCCATGGGCGAAAGCCCGGCCACCAGGTGCTCGCTCACGGGCCCCAACCCCAGGCCTGGCTCCAGAGTGGGACCCCGGTAACCCTCTGGGCCGGGTACTCCAACTCTTTGACTGTACATCCAAGAAAGATCCTCTGAACTGACAGGATCCACAGGCGGATTGGTTCAGCATCTGCAGTGATGCGGACGCTGAGCCGATCTGTCGTGGTGAAGAGGGAGCTGAGCCAGAAAGCCAGGCTCTCGATTTACCGGTCGATCTACGTCCCAATCCTCACCTATGGTCATGAGCTTTGGGTAATGACCGAAAGAACGAGATTGCGGATACAAGCGGCCGAAATGAGTTCCCTCCGTAGGGTGGACGGGCTCAGCCTTAGAGACAGGGTGAGGAGCTCGGACATTCGGGAGGGACTCGGAGTAGAACTGCTGCTCCTCCGGATCGAAAGGAGTCAGTTGAGGTGGTTTGGGCATCTGGTCAGGATGCCTCCTGGACGCCTCCCCGGGGAGGTGTTTCGGGCATGTCCTGCTGGCAGGAGGCCCCCGGGTCGACCCAGGACACGTTGGAGAGGTTACATCTCCAATCTGGTCCGGGAACGCCTTGGGGTCCTGCCGGAGGAGCTGGTGGAGGTGGCCGGGGAGAGGACGGTCTGGAGCTCCCTAGTTGGGATGCTGCCCCCCTGACCTGGACCCGGATAAGCGGAGGAAGACGACGACGACGATGTTATAAACAGCGTTTGACTTTACACCAAAGATGATTTTTAAAAAATCCAGACCCCTACCAGCTTCTGTTGCTGGTGGTGTTACCGGGTTCAGCTGCTGCTCTCACACCGGAATGAGAAGATCCCTGAACGCCGACGCTCATATAAACAAATAACGTAATTCTATACATCGGAGCTTTATTGTTGTTAATAATTGTCTTGCTTTACACTACAGTGGACGGAGCGCAGCCTACGTGGTGAAATACCCATCCATCAGGATTATCAATAACTAGTATAAACACATCACATTTATGCCTGTCCCTGTCTTCCTCGTGAAATAAATGAACGTTAATCTTACCCGGTAAAAACATGTTCGCTGCAAATCTGAGGGCTGCTAGTCCACTTGATTAATCGCTGCAGTTCATCTCCTTCCTCAGTCTCCATCAAAGTTAATAAAAAGAAAAAACGAGTTGAGTTTACGTCGTTGTCTCTCAGTGCGGCCAACCACGCAGCAAGCTAAAACCATTTTACTGTCACATCAACTAAATAAAAGTGATAAAAAGCTACAAACTGGCTTGTTTTGACTACCTTCACTGGAGTTTCTACGGGTCCATCATGGCGAAGGGGGCGGTCCCATGAGTGGCGTGACGTCACGTGCAAAGGGTCACTAGAGCTCCGGGAGTTGACGTCACTTCTCTCGGCATGTAACAGTTCAAATTGAAACGGCGCCATCTTGGCAGGCAGAAGCCCGCTGCTAGACTATTTGTTATTGTCAGAAAACTCAATCAAACGGGAAATATGGTAGATTCTTCTTCCCGCTCTTGGAGAGTGCAGACGCTTTTTTCCTCCTCTCCTCCCTATCTTACCCTCAAGGCTCTTTGTCTGTCTCTGGGTGTACGGCTGCTTCTGCATTATTTCTGGAAACTGGAAACTGAAACTACTAAAATAGATCTTGTCAGTTGGTCACTTAACGCGATTGATAAAATGTTTTCAACGATGAGAACGGGAGAAGGGGCTCCCGGGTGCCCCTCTGGGACAGACCCAGCTGGGCATATGGTGGACTCCTGGAAACAGTCGAACTTGAACTGCCTATCTCAGCTGTCTGTGGAGGATTCTGAAGACGTCTGGATATTCGTGGTGTTGGTGTCAGGTTTCCTGCACTTTGGCCTAGGAGGCTTCCTGGCTTACCGGAAAATTAACGAGCTGTTGAGGAATATTGGCGCTCTCCCCGAGCTCAGGGATGGATTACACCGCGCTGTGAATGCACAGACTCACATAATTGTCGAGATGAGTCGTAAGCTTGGAACTTTGGCTGAGATTCATGCGTTGGCACAAAAGATGGATGCCATCAAGGAGAAAGTGGACAAATCAGCATGGATTAGGATAGATTCATTTACGCCGTTATTGGGATTTTGAGAGGTTGAGGACCAGCTGAACTCTAGGACAGAGAGGAAATGATCTCTGTCTGGCCCCAAAACAATTTCTAATCTAAATCGGGTGCCCTTGAGCCTGTAAGGCTGCAACGAATACTCCCCCTGAGAAGAAATGTGGAATGCTGCCGTAGCCATGGCAACTCTGTCTCCTATCCCAGCCTGGGCGGGACTGCGAGCTGTGAAGGCCGCCGAATCGTTCCAGGAGTCACTGTGCCCTCCAAACCCCAACAACCTCCTTCCCCTGTCCAGACTGAGGTGACGTGCGCTGCTTATCGTGGCTGCAGGAACTGACATGTGGAGAGTCCTCAACCCTACCTCCCCACCTAGTGGACACTTATGTTGTGTAATGTCTAAAGTCTGTTGCATTTCTGTCTGAGGTGTTTTTTTTTTTTTTTTTGCATAGCAAAGTTGCCCTCCCTGTGAAGGGTAACTCTGAAGTGCCTTTTTTCCTCCACCTGACCCAATCCTCACATAAACCCTCTGATCTCTATTAAGGTAGCGCGACTCGGGTTGCGAATGACCACAGTCACCAATTCTTGTCATGTGTCTATGTCTATGTATGTATGTCTGATCTCAGAATTGTAGTACTGAAACTCTAATTTCCCTCTGGGATTAATAAAGTATCTTTGACTTGAATTGAACTGAATTCTTGTTGTCCCCCAGGATGCAGAACAGATGCGGACGACATAACGGATGAGCCATCTACAGGATTCCCCAAGATCCGGAGCGCCGCAAACATTGGATCATTGTAATAAAACGCGCTAGTGACCAGGCTAAAATGAAACTGTGGGATCCAGAGAGTAAAGGTTTTCGCTTATGCAGCGACCGCTTCATATCAGGTACTTAAACCAACATTTCCTCAACTGTGTATGGTATTTATTTTAAATGCTTTTATTACGATTCTTAGAGGGCTTCCTAAACTTATTTTTGGCGTGGCTTTTTCTGTCTTATTACTCATAGCAACGAGTAAACGTCACGTAAAACGTTGCCTCGTGAGTTCTGCGTGCCGCCGTTTACGTGTTTTATGATCACAACAATTAACCGGCTAAGCTGTATTTCATTTTAAGCAATGGTTGATCAATTGTCAGATCACACATAAAAAAGCGCGTTGGATTGCTATTATCTGTCTCACCGAGACAGATCTCAGACAGATCTCAGACAGATCCTGAGACGCTCCTGCCTGACATATTTATTTTACTCACGGAAAAAAATCAGACTAGTGATTTCTCTTGGAGTTCATTTTATACATTCAAGCAACACAGCCCTCTATTTAAACTACTTACATGTAAATCTATGTTATTTGTCCATCCATCCATTTTCATCCGCTTATCCGGAGTCGGGTCGTGGGGGCAGTAGCCTTAAGGTTGGCCTATGCTTGACGCGTCCGCGAGGTTCGCACGGCTCCGTGCAGCAAACTTGCGTCATAACAACCACACCCCTCCACCGCGCCTCCGCACGGCCCAAACTTTCCGCATCGCGCACCTAGGAAATTTTCTAACCACGCGGCTGATCGAACACGGAAAAACATGGCGGACTGGCAAGAACTAGTATGGCAGAGTTCGTAAATACAGACATTTGTATGATTCAGCACTCAAACATCACTGTGATCAACATGTTGTTAATAATTCTTGGAGAGAAATAGCTCGCACTGTCGGAAAAGATGAGGACGCTGTTAAAAAATGCTGGAATGCCATGTTGTAAACAACAGTATTTTTTACTTCTACTATGGTGTCGTGTTGGATGCATGCCGTAGAGCTCCAGAATATTAGCTCACCGCAGAGACAAGCTGCATGAACCATAAACGCTGCAAGTTGTGAAGCGTGTTCCATCCGCGAGCCGCATCACCAAGCGGAAAGTGAATGCGTCAAGCATAAACCAAGCTTAAGGCGAGAGGCCCAGTCTTCCATCTCCCCAGCCACTTGGGCCAGCTCCTCCGGCCCAAGGATTTCCCTGGCCAGGTCCGCTCCGACAGCTTCTGGTGTTTTTAAAAAGTATCCCAGGGGCATGGTAAGGGTCGGAGATGTTTAGTCTATTTAATTTCTGACTACATAAAACGATTTCTTCGGTTTTAAAGTGTGAAGTATACTCCGACGGAGTAAAATTCAAACTGATCCCATTCATTTTGTTTACTTTTGTTGCCTGCCAACATGGCGTCTACTCTCTGAGAGTCACGTGACGTCCGGAGCTCTATTGGTACAAAGGAGAAACGTATTTGTCTCAGTTCTGTGAAGTTTAGAGTTTTTCTCCCAGCTGGGCCCCATAAGTGCAAACAGTATGGGTCCCAACTAGCTTAGAAATCTAGTCAAACCACAGCAGTAGCAAAAGATTTGGCTCTGCAGGTTGGTCTAGCCATAGCCTCAGCAGTTCTATTTGTACAGACCTTTTTATGTATTGCAATTCTCAGTGTTCTACGTTTTTGTAGGCTTAACACCAGAGCTGCAATGCAGAAAAAATACAAAAACAACGTTGGTTCAGCAAATACGCTGGTTTTAAACGGCTTTGGCATTAACTTTGAATGATTTAGACTTGAGTTTTTCTCTGAGACACGAGCAGACGGAGGTACTTAAGTTCTTTATTCAAAAAAAGGATGTATTTGCTTTTCATCTTTGAACGGTCTGGAGGACTGCCCCGTTCACGTTGTTTGTTGCTCTAATAGGGCCTAGCCCTGTCCAATTGTCTGTGGAGACAGTTTGAAAGACAACCGTAGATCCAGCCCCATGACAGAGCTCTTTCTTTGGGTCATGGACAAACCATATTTACAAATGAGAGGAACCATCGCGCACTGTTTTCCTGCAGCGACAGTCATGGACATTGCACAACAAATCCCAGACCTCATCCAACTTCACCCAACAGTGAGTTCAGTTCAGTTCAGTTCGTTTTTATTTCAAACATTTCACACATGTATCTTTACAAAACATAATTTCATTATTTGTTTGAAAAGGAGTAGACAGAAGTATTAACTTATTTGTCCCCACCCCCAAGTTTTACCTCTTATTCATTTAATTTTCTTTCCATCTTAAATTAAACAAACCGCCTATGAGAAAACAATGTATATATATATGTGTGTGTGTATATATATATACATATATATCTGTGTGTGTGTGCGTGTATATACATATATATATATATATATATATATATATAGATATAGATATATAGATATATATGTGTGTGTGTGTATATATATACACACATTATCCATCCAGTTTCTGAGTCCGCTTTGTCCGTGCGGGGTCGATGGGGGGGGGGGCATGGTGCCCTTCTCAGCAGTCAACGGGCAATCAGGCGGGGTACACCCTGGACAGAGAGCCAGTCCATCGCAGAGCAACATAGAGACACACAGGACAAACAATCATGCACACACACACTCACACCTAAGGACAATTTAGACAGACCAATTAACCTAACAGTCATGTTTTTGGACTGTAGGAGGAAGCCGGAGTACCCGGAGAGAACCCACGCATTCACAGGGAGAACATGCATCCTCCATGCAGAAAGATCCCAGGCTGGGAAGCGAACCCAGGACCTTCTTGCTGCAAGGCAACAGCTCTAACCACTGCGCCACTGCGCAGCCCCCATGTACATTATATATATATATATATATATATATATATATATATATATATATATATATATATATATATAAACAAAACAACATATGGAAAACAGAGAATGTGTAAATTTGCAGATTCACCCGTTATGGAGAAAAAAGAAAAACCAAACAAACCAAAAAACACAGAAAAAGAAGCACAACAGCATAACCATCCACATTTACCATTCTGGGTTAACCCCGTTTTCTTCATTCTTATAATTATTTCATCTCTGTTCCATAATTTAACTCCTGCAATTGCGATTGACATAGTTTTTAAAGTTGTTCTAGCACTTTGTATTTTTAAATTTCATTTCCCTCTTAAGTTATACCCACCTTCTCTTTCTTTGAACAATAAACAGATTTCTTTTGGAAGCAATTTATTTCTTACTTTATACATTATTTGCACCATTTTGAACTTCACCAAGTCTTGGAATTTAATAGCTTGGATTTTGACAAAGAGTGCATCTGTATGGTTCCTGTACCCCACATTATTATTTATTCTAATGGCCTTTTTCTGTGTTATAGTTATCGTCTGTATGTTGCTTTTGTATGTGTTTCCCCAGACCTCTACACAGTAACTCATATATGGCAGTAGTAAAGCACAGTATAATATGTGCAGGGCTTTCTGATCCAACATCTTCTTTGCTTTCCACAGGATGGCAACGACCCGTGCCAATTTCCCCCGAACATAAGTAATGTGTGGCTTCCAACACAGCTTATGGTCAATGATCACACCAAGAAATTTTATTTCATTTACTCTTTCTAAATATACATTATCCACACAAAGGTATATTTTGATGTTTTTCTTTTGGTTACCAAATAACATAAATCTAGTTTTATTAAGATTCAATGATAATTTATTTATATCAAACCACTTTTTTAATATTGTTAATTCCTGTGTGATCATCTCCAAGACCTGTGGCAATTCCACCCCTGAACACAGTATATTTGTGTCATCTACAAATATTACAAACTTTAAAATTTTTGATACTCTGCAGATATCATTTAGGTACATAATAAACAATTTTGGTCCCAGTACTGAACCTTGAGGTACGCCACAAGCTATATCCATCAAATCAGATTTGTATTGATTTATTTGTACATATTGTTTCCTATTCCCTACATAGCTTTTTAACCAATTCCCAACTATTCCCCTAATCCCGTACCTATCCACTTTTTAATAGAATTTCATGATTCACAGTATCGAACGCTTTTTTAGGTCTAAAAAAACTCTGAGTGCATACCTATTATTATCCATGCAGTCCGTTATCTCTTCCATTAGATCTATCAGTGCCAAAGCTGTTGATCTGTTAATTCTGAACCCAAATTGGCTATCAGTCAGTAATTGATGTTTTTCCACAAAACTGTCAAATCTTTTTATGAACAGTTTTTCCAGTATCTTAGAAAACTGGGAGAGTTTTGACACTGGTCTGTATGGTGAGTAAAACCATAATCCACGCCGGCACCAATGACATTCATAAGCAGCAGTCTGAACTCATCAAGTGTGATTTTATCCATCTTTTTACTCTTTTAAAACACACACCTGTGTGTTTTTATCTCAGGCCCCATCCCCACAGTGGACAGAGGAATCGGACGTTTTAGCCGGCTTTTACCTCTGAACACTTGGCTTTCCTCTGCCACTGTGCAGCAGAACATCAGTTTTATTGACAATTTTAACATTTTCTGGGGCAGGAGGCATTTGTTCAGACCAGACGGGCTGCATTTAAATAGACAAGGACCCTCATGCTCTTAATGAGCCTGGCCTGTCCACCACCCCCTCTGTCCATCACACCAGCCCCAGCTGCCCCCACGTCCTGATGCCGCCCCGGTCCAGGCACCTATGAACCTAGTCCTGGTTTTAACAGTAACTCACATATTGGACTTGAAGCTCGCCAAGCCGCTCCCATACCAGTCATCAGCAGAGAGCGATCACACAAACAGAAAACTAACCGACCCAACATTAATGATCTCAAACAGTTGTCCAGAGTCCCATGTTCAATAAGTCATACAGTTATTCCATCTCTAGCCACCATTAACACGGCTCTTTTAAATGTTCGATCTACGCTGAACAAAACCTTGATTATAAATGACCTGATTTTAGACAATAGTCTTCACTGTTTAATTTTAACAGAGACCTGGTTGAGTTCAGATGCTCCTGTTGTTCTTACAGAGGCCTCCCCACCAAACTTCAATTTTATTTATTCAGTCAGGAATGGAAAAAAGGGAGGCGGAACCGCTTTTATATCTTCTTCAACACTTGCTGCAGAATCGGTTTTATTTGACGATTTTACCACTTTTGAGTACACTGCAGCTGTTTTTAGTATGCCTCAGATTTTGTGTCACATAGGCCTCCGAAGCAGATTGTACTTTTTATTCCACAATTTTCAGAGTTTTAATCTATTTTACTCAACTCCTTTGATTGGATTACTTTAGTCTGTGATTTTCATCTACACGTGGATAACCTTTTATATCCTCTAGCCTTAGATTTTTTAAATATCTTGAATTTAATGGATTTTACTCAACATCACACAGCCAAGTCACAACAGAGGGCACACCCTGGACTTGGTCATCACGTGTGGCCTGTCCACTGGTGTGTCCTCCAGTTTTATTCAGCGGGAGACTTCTGTCAGAACTCTAATACAAACACAGAGGCAATAAATCTGATTACAGCCAGCCACGCCAACACTTTGGCCTTTGTTCCCTCTGTCCTTCCTGCAGTAACTGTCACCGCTCCTGTTTGACTTTCGCATTCGTGGATCTCCTCTCTCTCTCATTCACCTCCTCCTTTTCTGGGTTTCACTCGTTGACTTCCTGTTGAAAAGCATAAACGACAGAGGAAGTGAAGCGGTGGGGTGAGAGCAGGGTCAGTCAGAAACCATGTGTTGTACAGGAAAATGTGCCCGCCTGGTGGGACTGATCCTGCTGCCGACGGCCTTCGTCTGCATGATCTCCAATCTGCTGCTGTTCTTCCCAAATGGAGAGAAGCTGAAGAATTCAAACATCTCCTTGCAGGTCTGGCTCATGGGGGGGCTCATCGGAGGAGGCCTCTTTGTGAGTAGAGCTGGATTTATTTTGAAGTTGTTATGTGAAGACCCAAAGTGAAAAAGCAGCATTTTATTATGTTTTTAATTTTTACATTTAAGAAGTAGTTAAGGACTTTTTTTAAAATAAAAGAAAATTTAGTCAGTTTTAATATATAGTTTAGTTTTTCAAATGTAGTAACTTATAAATTGGTTTTACAGCCTTCTAAACATCACCTGAAAAACTATTTTTATAGTAAAACTTCATTTCAGTCAAAGGATTTTGAACTAAACATCATATAAAACCATTTCAGGCTGAATTACCAAAAATGTGTTTGTATGATCATTTTCTCTCTTCTTAAAATTTTAAGTGAAAGTTTGAGCTCTCGAGAGCACAGGCAGGTATAAAGTCTTTTGTTATGATTCAAAAACCGGACTTCTCTGAATCCTCAAAATGCTTTACATTGATAGAAAATGTATAAATTAACATACTAACAGCATACTTGTGTTCAGAAATAAGCTCAGCTATAATGTGTCTTGATGCTTTTAAAAAAAACAATGTTTTCAATTCACAAATGCTTTGTTTTGGGCATTTAATTTTTTTTAAATTGCAGTTTGAAGGCATATTTAGACTTCTAATTGATACAAAAATTAAAAACACACGTTGTGCTACTTCCCTTGCTGCATTTATGTGTTAAATTTGTTCATTTACACGTACAGTTTAGCTCATTTTTACAGAATAAATAGATAATAATAAAGATATTAGATTTTAAAGTATGTTTGAAAATCATAATATACAAAAAATACTTTTGAGATGATTTTTTCTGGGTAATTTATCTAAAATACGTGTAATTAGTATTTCTTCCACCTAAGGGTGTGGTTTATGTTTGTCATAACTTAATAGAAGCGACTGTGTGAGTCAATTTTAATGTTTTAAAGTTTGTTATGTCACAGTTATTCCTAATTCAATTAATTTGTCAATATTTACTTCAACTAACTAACCACAGTGACCTCTAGGCACCACAAACATATTTTTCTTTTATCCTTTTTAACTCGTGGTGATATTTTAGTTTGAAACAAAGACCTGGAAGTTTGAACCCACCCTCCTCCTGTGGGTGGATGACCATTCTAACATAGCAACAAAAACTAGTTCACAAATATTTGCTTGGAGAGATAAGAACACACACACACACACACACACACACACACACACACACACACACACACACACACACACACACACACACACACTCCGTAATTCTAATTTTTGGGCCAAAAACTCACATAAATCAACTTTACAGCCGATTTATTGCATGAATACACAAAGTATTTATAGATTAATACATAATTATATTTATAGAAACACAGTTTTACATCTTTAACATCCATTTAAAATCCTAAAAACCAAGTTTCAAAGCAACCACCCTAAACTTTATGCTTTTCCAATAACCAAAATTTCTGATAACTGAAGCGATAATCTATCTCTCAACTTTCCAGATGCTGTGCCCGAGCTGCTCGGCTATCAGGGCAGGGGGCAAGGGTTGCTGTGGAAAGGGTTGCTGCGGCAACCGTTGTCGGGTGAGTCAAATCACTCTGAAGATACTGAAGAGTTATAAAGGAATGATCTGTCCATTTTTTAATCAGGAAGTAAAAGTTGTGGAGCCTTTCAGTCTGAAAGGACAAGCAGCTTTAAAATAGGTTGTTCTGTTCTATAGTTTGCATTGTTGTTTTGTTGTTCAGATACTCCCTGTAGTCTGGAGCAGAACTGTCCTATAGCAGAACCTTTGTCAAGGCAAGTTTTCTAGCTTGCATAAATAAAAATGTTTTGGTTTTGTTTGTAAGCAGAGCTGAGAAAAGCAGATATGAGTAACAAACAAACAAAAATCTTTTTCAAACAAAGATTGTTTTAGTGAAAAAACCCACCGCTCTAACCAACTCTGTCAAATGTAGAAGAAGTATTCCTGACTAGTTTTAACACCCCAAACATCTGCATTCAAGCATTTGTGAAAAGTGGTAAATTAGGCTCTCATATTACCGTGGAAGTATTTTGTCCCACTCTTTTATTGGCTGAACTGTTTTGGGGGTCTTTAAAAACTTGGACATTCTCATCACAATTTTCTGGTAGAGAGCAGAATTTGTGGTTACATCTAGATCTTGAAGCAGCAAAGCAGTCCCTGACCATCATACTACCACCACCGTGCTATATGCTTTAAATAGAGTGAGATACAAATATTTCCAAAGTTCCACTTACGTCTTAGCCCGCTGAATATTTTCTCCAAAGTGAACCTTTAAGTGAACATGATGCAGACCTCTGTGTTCCTTTTGGTCACTAGAGGATTAGGCCATGGAAATCTCCCGTAGATGTGCCTCCCCATCTCCTTCTCATCGCTCAGATGATCATGAACCATCTGAGTGCTTTACATGTTTTCTTTATCATGAGAGTCCTCAACACAGGGGTGATGATGGGTTTTGAGATCTTTTAGCCTACTTCCTGTTGTCAGACGGGTTCTAATGTGGTGGTGGTGGTAATCAGGCATCAATGTGGTTAATGGAACTGAACTCAGCTTTCCAAATAATGAGGTTATTCGCAGTAAATTAAATTAAAATTTTCACACCACTGCAAACCATAGGTACTTTGAGATAAAGCGATATTTTATCGGCTTCAAATGGTGTATCATTCTGTAGCAACAGTAAAGTATTCCATTAATTCATTTGTTTTCTATTTTAGATGTTAAACTCAGTTTTCTCTTCTGCATTTGGTCTGGTTGGAGCGATTTACTGCACTAGCGTGGCCTCAGCCGGTTTGGCGATTGGACCAAAGTGCCAGCTGAACAATAAAGACTGGAAATACCCATTTGAGGACACGGGCACGTGAGTGTTCCTCCAATCACCATCCTTCTATCCTTTTTGGGTGTCTTTAACTGTCATGACGATAGCCACTGCAACCACAGACCTGCCTGTGACTCTGGAGCCATGCGCACTGAAAGAAAAGTCTACTTCCATTTTTAGTTCCCCATTGATTTTCATTTACTTCAACCTGTTATCTGATGTAGTAACCCTCAGTCAGAGGCAGACCAGCTTCCGTTCTTCAAAAGGGATGTGATTGTAATATGATAATCTCCCACTAGATGGCACGCTGAACCAAATGTTTCTGTGATGGGCTTCATCTCAAAACCTTCAAAAACAAGAAACTTTAATAAACGTATCTTTGCTTTACTCCTCTTATCAACAAATATGAAAAACTCACATAAAGTGTTCATTCAACCACAGAACAATCAAATTAAAATGGGATCTACAAGCATGACCCATCCAAAGTAATGAAGTAATTGACACAAATTAGGTATTATTTCAAGTAAACATAATCTGAGAAATGCCATCAGGTGATTAGAATTAGCATTACCTGATTACACACACACACGCACAGAAAGAGGAAGTTAGGTTTGATTATTACACAAGATGAGGAGATTTTACCTGATCTTTTTCTTCCACCAGCAAGCCGCAGTTTCGTCTTTCAAAACATCTACATTAGCTCCTTTTTATTTCTCACAGCTCCGAAAAAACAGGAAGTGTTTGTAACAGATCATAAGACATAAACAAGGAAAGGGAAGGTTAAAATGTGTTTGGTGTTCTCTGTTTTGAACAGTTAGTCTGACAGAAGGAAAATGAAAAACTTTGTTTATCTGACTTTGAAACTAAAGGAATAATGTAGATTTTCACAGGAAATGACCGATGTTTACATTTATTGTATTTGGCATCTTGGAGTATCTCCAGCAGTCATTAGGGGAGAGACAGAGGCACACCTGGGTAGGTCACATGCCCACGGATATAGATAAAACAGCAATACACACACACACACACACCAGGTGGAGTCACTCATTTTAACCTGACCAGTATATTTTGTTTTGATGCATTGAAAAAAAACTCACAAGAACATTCAGGAAGTACCTGGCCTGATGTTAAACTAGCAACCTGTTTGCTAGGTGAGCGTGCCAGTCAGCTGATAAAACGCAGAAAAATAGAATTAGTGAATTATTTTTTTGTTGCACTAAGATTATTCATTAATGTAAACTGCTAGTTAGCACCTATTATAAAACATTCTAGGTGGAGCTGCTATCAGTATGAAGTGGCACCTATCAAAGTTTTGGACTTTGGTCTCGTTTTCTGGCTACAAAATGAAATCAGTCAAACATGTTCCTGATTGTGTTTGAGTTACAAAAGAAAAGGTTTGGTAGTGAGAAAATCAGAAATTAGAAAAGGATTATTTCAGCTCCTTAATTAGTCTCTGGTAGCTCAAATCCATCCATTCATCTGTCTGAGCGCTCCTTCTCTGTGGCCGTCTCCAAGTTTAGGTCCTCCACAACCTCCCTCACCCATGGTGTGCCACAAGGCTCTGTGCTGGGGCCTCTGCTCTTCCTCCTCTATCTGCTTCCTCTTCAGCACATCCTGAGCTCCTTCAAAGGAATCTCCTACCATCTTTGTGCAGATGACATCCAACTGTACATCTCCTTTAAGCCCCATGAGATGTCTAAGCTGCAGCTGTTACACACCTGCTTAGACTATCAAAACCTGGATGGCTGGGAGCTTTCTACAGCTGAATGAAGATAAGACTGAGATCCTCATCTGTGCCCCAGACAAGCTGGTTGCCAAAGTCAGAGACTCTCTCGGTCAGCTTGCTTCTCACACCAAACCCTCAGTCAGGAATCTTGGTGTGACCTTTGACCCAGCTCTCACTCTGGATTCTCATGTCAGTTCTCTTGTTGGCTCTTCCTTCTTCCATCTCAGGAACATTGCTAAGCTGAGTCCCATTCTGTCCCGCTCTGAACTTGAGACAGTTCTCCACACCTTCATCTCCTCACGCTTAGACTACTGTAACTCTCTTTTCACGTGTCTGAGCAGAACCTCCCTGAACCGTCTACAGGTGGTTCAAAATGCCTGTGCTCGGCTTCTGACCAAGTCCTCCAAACACACCCACATCACCCCGCTTCTCCTCCAGCTTCACTGGCTGCCAGTTGACTTCAGGGTTCTTTTCAAGATCCTAGTTCTGGTCTTCAGGGCCTTACATGGACAAGCACCATCTTACTATTAGGTGATCTTCTCAGTCCCTACTCCTTCAGCAGGTCCCTGAGGTCCAGTAACCAAAGCCTACTGGTTGTGCAGCACCAGGCTAAAGACTAAAGGTGATCATTTGCTGCTGTGGCCCCCAGACTCTGGAACTCTCTCCTCCTGAGCCTGAAATCAGTGGACTCAGTGGTCTCCTTTAAAAAGCAGCTGAAAATTCACCTGTTCAAGCTGACTTTGGTGTGACCTTCTGCCTATTCTTCCTCACTACAGTGCCACCGTAATGAGCATACTGCAGTATGGAAGTCCAGTTTTGCTGTGCAGCTTTAATGTCCAGTCCAAGTCAAGAATACTAAAACTCTGCTCCAAGGTAGTGGGTCAATCCGCGGAGAGCTCCTTCTTCAGTGGATATTCCTCACAAAGCTTCAGACTGGCAAGGGTGAAAACGGCAGACTCCTCTCATGTTCGAGCAGACACTTTAGAGTGCCATTATGTAGAAGGAATACACATAAACATTTGTTTATCCAACATTCAATTGGTCTCCTCCATCAGTAGTATTGGGATTTTACATGTATACACCGATTTGGCAAAATAACCAGATTTCATGCTGCTGCCATTACTGCAGTGACAGTTCCCAGTTCCCAGTGCTGTGCACATTTTTTAATCTAAAAATGTTTATTATGAATTTTTTGAAAAAAAAAAATTATATTCAGTTCTTGTGAAGCGCCATGTGATTTTTACTATGAAAGGTGCTATATAAAAATAGTTTCTTCTTCTGTAGGAGGTCTGATTCAGCGTGATGTGCTTTTTCCGCCTACCTGGACTGTATTTTTACACTACTTACAATACTCTGTTGTTCTCCACCTCAGGGGTGCTGGCAGCTACCTTGTTAACCAGACAATGTGGACGATCTGCACATACCCTGAAAATGCAGTAATGTGGCACGTGGTGCTGTTCTCTATCCTCCTGAGCATGGGCATCCTGCAGATGGTACTCTGTGGCATCCAGGTCGTCAACGGCTGCATAGGCTGCATCTGTGGAGACTGTCGGGACAGCAACGATGTATGTGAGCCAGTCCAGTGTGCTACAAATAGAAACAGATACAGATACCATGAATGAATCCTTCAGATGTGAGACCTCAGTTGCCAGTCGTATTTTATGATATTGTGTGTATGGAAAAGTGAGACTGAAGAATTTGCGTTAAAAGTGCACTCATTTTCAGCCATCAACATTTCCACATTTAGGAAAACAAGCTTTAAAGCGACAATGTCAAATCTGCAAAAATAAGCTAGCTTTTAAACTAGGGCCGGGACTTTAACGTGTTAATTATGATTAATTAATTAGGAAAAAAATGACGTGTAAAAAAAATTAACGCATTTAATCACAGCTTGCATTTCGAGAAAGGCGGAATCTTTGTCATTGCACGATTTCCTCATAGACCGAATGTCACTGACGCACACAACATTGCACAGTGCTAATGGCTACTAAAACAGAATAAAAACAGAAAGAAGTTGCCTTGCTTGGACTGATGCAGGATTTAGGAAATCTGTCCGCCTATTTTCTTAACTTGGAAAAAAAACGGAGTCCGTATCGCAGACATTTTTCAGAGATCGTCTCTGCTGAAGCTGCCCGGTGGCACCGGAACCTTTACAAAAGTTGCGGTAAGCTATATTTTTAACATTTACGTAACATCTGTGCAGCGCTGAAAGCACCAGACAGAATAATTCTTTGCCCTAACAGTAGTTTATGAAAGCAGTCAGACAAACGACAGGCACCTGGCTGCCGCTGGGAGAACGCTCCGTGTTCTCACTACTCTGTAAACAATCACAAACAATGTGTCTTAAAGTTGAAAACAGAAGTTTAAGTTAAAACAGAAACACTCTAAAAATGTGATTAATTTTGATTAATTAATTAATTACAAAGCATCTAATTAATTAGATTACATTTTTTTATTGAGTCACTGCCCTATTTTGAATACAAGCAATGTTACGAAATTCCTCACCCCTCCTGTCAGGTATCATGCCTGGACCCCATTCGCCGGAACCCACATTGCCAGAGGAGACAAGATGGCGCTAAAGGGCAGTCACCGTTTTCCATGTCCAAACATCTTTTGTTGTCAGTGACTTCAAACGGTGTTTTACTTTTTGGGACTCTGGTAGTTTGTCCTAAAGTAGAAGTGGTAGCAGCCGACTGTTTCTCCTTCTCTGATGATATTGAGCGGAGAACCTCCCACACCAGTGGTGTTCAGTTTATAAATACGCGAGTGTGTAATGAGTGGAGGACCCAGGGAAGTGAGACCGTTTGGCAGAGCCGATAACCGGATGGTCCAATAGTTGCTTTCAGTCAGAAATGTTTTATTGTCTGAGGGTTTTAGACAATTGCGAGATAATTGCTTTGTTAATATTTTTCTTTTTTTAATCTCCATAATATATTCATAGCTATACCATGTTAGAACATTGTTTTGAGGCCTGAAAAAATGTTTTAAGCTAATTTGTTTAGCAGATTTGCTTTTGTAGGAAAATAAATTAATATTTGGCAGATAAATTAATTACTTGCTAAACGACTATTAGTGCAATTAGATACGTTGTGCAAAATTTTGAAAGATGATGAGATTAGGCCATTTTTGGTTATTTACTAACAAACTAAAATTAAAATTTGATATTGATATTAATATTAGCGTTTTTTTTAGATTTATACTGAAACTGAATAAGCAATTATTAGCTTTTAGTACAAATGTGACTAAGGGATTTTTGTCATAAAGATTTTTTTTAACCCGTATTTTTCTTTTTCACATTGTTTATTATTGTTTATTTGTCAGGGACCATGTACAAAAACATTAAATAAGACAAAATATGGTTTTGACCAGAATCCACAACCTATCTGCAGCCCCACATAACACATTATATAGAAAGGATCTAGGTTTTTGTTATCTAAGCATTAATTTGTGACTAAAAAAAAATGTAAAACACTGAAGACATGTTCTAATAAAGTTCAAAAGAGGAAATCTTTAGTTTAAGTAGTTGCAAAGCCAATTAAAGCATGAAAGCTAAAGTATTTTTCTGTTCAAACTAAATAGTGATGGATTGTTCTAAAAGAACATCTGTTACTCTGAAAACAGCTGGAAAAAGTGATATTCCATCATGTTGACATGTCCGTTTGAACATGAACATGTCGGAGTGTCTTAAGTATTAAACTACAGCTAAGTGTTGATCCAACATTGTAGTCTGATGTGGCAAAAGCAGCATCCACGAGTAAAAGGCTAACATCTAGAGTTCACACATTAACGAGCTGCTTGGTTGATCATTAGGGATCCCGTCCACTACGTAAATAACCATGTGACTTTTGTCCTGTTGCAGGACGACGGTGGACTTTAGAGCTGAAGTAGACGCTCCTGTTGGGTCCTGCCTGCTCTGTTAAATGTCTATAGAGAGGTGCAACGTTTCTGTGAAGAAGCCTGTTGAGATTTGATCTTTTTGATAATCTTCGATGCTCTTGTTTCAAACATATCAACATTTTTTGGGGTGATTTTTTTTTGTTGTCTTATTTTCTTGCAACTTTTGTGACAAAAACAATTACTGGATGACAAGTAAACTCCTTAAATGGACAAAAAAACTGTATTTTAACTATCTGTTTGTAAAAGACTCCATTTATCAAATAAATGTGACAATTTCACTCAAATTGGTTTGAAGTTCATTAAAAAATGGCCTTCATCCAGGTTGATATGTGTTTATGTAACGTAAGTGTAAGAAAGTTCTGAAATCTTCTTTTATTATGTTTTAACAACATTTAATTTAACAATTCAGGCATCTGACGTGTCCTTATTTTCTTGTATTGAACTTCAAGACAGACCCAGAAATCATTGGATACAAATTCTCTGTGACCTGGAAACACTTTTCCCTGAATTTTTACCACCTGAACCCAACCTTGGATAAGTGGCAGACAGATGTTGGGCTCTGTGGAAAAGTTATGAACAAACATCCTCTTATCGCACCTGTTGCAGATGGCTCTTTGAGAAACCTTAGTTTGGAGAAATAAGGTTTAATTTTACCCAGATTCATGAGTTAATGGCTAAAGTGTGCAGGATTTAAACTAAAGTAGCATTACCTTAAAGGCGTGGAGCAATGAAAAACTATGATTTTTAAATTATTATTTCTGATTTTAATCAGTCACTCAAGTTTTTCATGCAGGCTGAACATGAAAATAGTCTCCTACACCTATCTCCTGCATTAGCTTCTGATAAAAAATAGACGGTGAATTGCATTAAAGTCCAGGAAACAGCAGAGAAAGTCTTGACTAGTAGAAGCTAACTGTTAGCATTAGCAACTCCACCACACAGCAGAACTCCTTCATGCTTGTGTTATTTGTGGAGATAAAACATCAACACTGCAGAGAAAAATGAGTCAGTGGTAATTTTACATGCAAGCATTGACGCAGACTTGGGTGATGTATATTACCCACAATCGATTGCTGTGGGAGAAAAGGCTCAAGTTCCTTTTCTGAACATATTTATTTTCTAATGAAAGTAGTTAATTTTTCGATGATCAGTTGATGCTCTAAATTTTTTAGATAAGCAGCAACAAATGTAAAATTATTTCAAATAATTAAAAGATTGTCAACAACTTTCAAACAAACAAAGTTTTTTTTAATTATCACAGCCACCAGCATCCTGGCATGCATTGAAGAAGAAGAAAATATCATGTCTATAGCGCCTCTCTAGATAAAAATCACGAGGTGCTTCACAAAAACAAATAATGTAAAAATAAAAAAAAGAATTTAGAAAATAGTTAAAAAATATATTTAAAATGAGCAAAAAATTGACAATTGTTGTTAAAAAAAAGTTAAGAAAGAGAAAGTGTGAATAGGAAAGAGGGAAATCAGTGGATCCTGAGGAAGGTGGAATAGGTGGGGAGAGCAGAATAAAGAGAGAGTGGTGAAGAAGGTCATACAAAACCAGCTTGAACAGGTGAGTCTTCAGCTGCTTTTTAAAGGAGACCACTGAGTCCACTGATCTCAGGCTCAGGAGGAGAGAGGTCCAGAGTCTGGGGGCCACAGCAGCAAATGATCTGTCACCTTTGGTCTTTAGCCTGGTGCTGCACAACCAGTAGGCTTTGGTCACTGGACCTCAGGGACCTGCTGGGGGTGTAGGGACTGAGAAGATCACCAATGTAAGATGGTGCTTGTCCATGTAAGGCCCTATAGACCAGAACCAGGATCTTGAAATGAACCCTGAAGTTGACTGGCAGCCAATGAAGCTGGAGGAGAAGCAGGGTGATGTGGGTGTGTTTGGAGGACTTGGTCAGAAGCCGAGCACAGGCATTCTGAACCACCTGTAGACGGTTCAGGGAGGTTCTGCTCAGACACGTGAAAAGAGAGTTCCAGTAGTCTAAGCGTGAGGAGATGAAGGTGTGGAGAACTGTCTCAAGTTCAGAGTGGGACAGAATGGGACTCAGCTTAGCAATGTTCCTGAGATGGAAGAAGGAAGAGCAAACAAGAGAACTAACATGAGAATCCAGGGTGAGAGCTGGGTCAAAGGTCACACCAAGATTCCTGACAGAAGGTTTGGTGTGAGAAGCAAGCTGACCAAGAGAGTCTCTGACTTTGGCAACCAGCTTGTCAGGGGCACAGATGAGGATCTCAGTCTTATCTTCATTCAGCTGTAGAAAGTTCCCAGCCATCCAGGCTATGATAGAGTCTAAGCAGGTGTGGAACAGCTGCAGCTTAGATATCTCATGGGGCTTAAAGGAGATGCACAGTTAGATAGATGTTGGAAGATTCCTTTGAAGGAGCTCAGGATGTGCTGAAGAGGAAGCAGATAGAGGAGGAAGATTAGAGGCCCCAGCACAGAACCTTGTGGGACACCATGGGTAAGAGAGGTGGTGGAGGACCTAAACTTGGAGACGGCCACAGAAAAGGAGCGCTCAGAAAGATAAGAGGAGAACCACTCCAGAGCAGTTCCTGATAGGCCTACCCAGTGTCTCAGCCTCTCCTGTAGCAGGTGATGGTCAACAGTGTCAAAGGCTGCAGTCAGGTCCAGCAGGATCAGAACAGAACAGCCCCCTGCATCACTGTGAGTCAGAAGGTCATTAGAGACCCTAAGAAGAGCTGTTTCAGTAGAATGAGCTCTACGAAAACCTGACTGGAAGCAATCATAGATGTTATGTTCATCAAGAGCAGCTGTGAGTTGTTTAGCCACAACCTTTTCCAAGACCTTGGAGACGAACGGAAGTTTAGAGATGGGTCTGAAGCTGCTATGGAGAGAGGGGTCGAGACTCGGTTTTTTAAGAAGCGAGTGGATTACAGTGTTGCGATCAATGACACAATGCTCCCTGTCTCAATTCAGCAATTATTTGCACACTTGTGTATGACACACTCGAAGCCTTACTGCGCTCTTCCTCCAAGTGCACTTTGCTGAAGACCGCAGTGCAAGCATTGGGACTGGACTTTTCTCCTCCAGCTGACTTCTACTTCCTGATTCAGGTGTATCTGTACTCCCCCCCCCCCCAGAGTGTGACCTACAAGAAATTCATTCCAACTAGAGACCACTGCAAATGTATTGATTAAACCACTTTAAAACAACATTAATTTTTAAATATCATGGCAGTTTTAAAGGTAATCTGTTGCTGCAGAAATACAAAAATTGTCATCTCAGAAATGCTAATAGTTAGCTCTATGGATAATGGCCAGTGCTTAATTTGAGCCGGATCTTGCCAGAACAAGATCCGGGAACTGTCTTATTTTGAAAGGACCGTTCCAGCAACTATCTGCTAGGATCCGGCAACTCACGCGACAAACTTGTGCTATATGCAGAATTTGAATAACGGGTGAGCTAAAGGGAGCTCCTGGAAGCTCTCAACTTCCACACCCAGGGGGAGCCCAAAAACGACCCTGGTTCTTCTTATATTACATTATCTATGTGGACTCTCCAGGGATTATTTAGAGCTGAGAGGCGCAGAGCTCTGATTGTTGACGCGCTCCAAACAGATGCGTCCTGAGCACAGCCACAGTAACATTCTCAAAGTGTCGCACCTCAAAAACAAATTTAACACACGCTCGTTCATGTCGGCTCATTTCCTTTTATGGTTTCGGTCTTTTATTTGTGCCTGATGCGTTTCGCTGCTGCGGAGCGGAGCGCATCACCTGTTTCGTCTTCCGGTGATTTCATCTCACCGGTGCGGTCAGCGCGCACTCCGCTGTTTTTGCGGTCGGTAGATCTTTTAGAACTGCAGTTCAAAGGTAACTCATGAGGTGAATATATATGAACCCAGGTAGCAGTTTTTCTTTAGGACTGAGAGGAGATGCAGGAAGATAATAAACAGATAGGACAGAAAAATAGTCAAATAAAAACAAGTTAGTTTTTGTACCTGGTGGTTGCAACAAACAGACACCATTGAAGGTAATCAGAAGTGAGGAACAGAAAATGAAATTATTATTTTAATGTTTAGAGCAGCAGGAACACTGAGAGGCTGCAGGCGCATCAGTAAGTTTGTGGCCGCTGCGCAGGGGGAGGGAGGAGAGGGCTGAAGCAGGGGAACAGTAAAGATGCAAAAACTACCGTTGTTAAGAGAAATGTGTGTTACCTAAAGCCGGGCGTACACTGTGCGACTTTTTCACTTTTTTGAGCCAATTTTCCACTCGTGTGAGAATCCACAAGATCGGAGCGAGTTTTGCGCCGAGCGTCGTGTAGTATACAGGGGGTTACGAGAGGCGATTAGCACCACGTGACCAGCTACCGATCAGCAATCGTGAGGTCGCACGGACTTCTGGCGTGTCTGATATTTTGCTCATCCCTCATGAGGGTATTGCACTGTTGAAGCGGCGCTGTGAGCAGCAGCGACCCAAAAAGTATCAGAACCGCTCACGGCGCATGCGCAATCATGCATCAACACCGCTCGCCCGCCATTTCCCTAATAACACACGTTGTTCGTTTTTATTTCTACACGTTTTTTACTCACAAAGATTGTCAAGAAAGCGTGTTTGTCGTGTTCATGTCCAATTAACCTGATCACAAAACACAGATTTACTTTCTTTATTTCGTTTTCCTCATCCAACCCCCATAAATCCCCGTGTGCCCTCCTGCAGCACACCTGAAGGACAACAGGCAAGACAAGAAAGTCTGACGTGTTGTATAAAAACTGCTATTTTTAGCATATTTTTAGGTCCAGACGTACAGTGTGAGCAGTCAGGTCTCATCCGAGAACTGGGTCGTACAGTGTGAGCACATGACTCGTGAGATCTGCCCTGCGAGGAAGTCGTACAGTTTGAGCTGAAGCTGAGTGCTACGAGTGAAAAAGTCGCACAGTGTCCGCCCTGCTTAAATGTGGGCGCAACATGTCAACCCCCCCGTGCGTGTTCCGGCATCTGTTTTACCTTTAGTGAACTTTGGTTTGACGTCAGTATTTGCGTTCCGGGAACGTTTGATTTACAGATTAAGCACTGTTAATGGCCTATTGCTAACAAATATTTTTATTGAGTGTCGACACGTTTTTTTAAGTCCATTTCTAGCTGAATATGCTCTAGCACACTGAACACAGAGCATGTACATGTGATCTGAGAGAGAAAAAAGCATTTGTGCATAGAAGCCCCTGCATCTGCGTGAGTGTCATCAAAAAAGGCCTTCTGTAGAACTGTGTGCTAGGGGTACACTGCTGTAAAAGCAGAGAAGAGCTGCTTTG